CGCTCTGCTTTTCATGGCTCTGATGTTGTCTGCCACCAAATCCCAGCTGAATAAAAGTCAGAAATTGAAGCAGCAAATCATGTTTTATGTATGTGTGCTTACACAATGAAAGCAAGATGGAAAGTGGGCCAAGCATCACACAGGGCATATTATGGCAACAAAGCAGCTTTCCACTTTCTTGGGAAAACGGCAGCCGCAACAGCCAGAGTGCCAGACACCGAGTACAATATGGCTAATGACAGAGAAAATAGAAAGAAAGATACATAGAAACTGCATTACCCGACTGCTCTTTTCCTGGGAAGTGCTTTACGATTCTCATTGATTCTACTCTATTCTTACTCAATACGAGCATCCGAGGATGAGCAATGTGACAATGGATGCTACGAGACGCTCGACACCTGTCCCGATTTTTCACATTATGCAGAAGTAGTTTACACTTATATGTTTTCAGGTGTTTCAGGACACTTAAGTAGCAGCAGTTGTTCACTTTCATGATCAGCCAGTATTTATTTTCCTGGATATTGATGAATTAAATTAAAATTCCAGAAAATGGTGCAAAGATGATATTTTAAAAATGTTTTTATAATAGAAATGATGATGATTTTTTTTTTTTTTTTAACTCAGATTCACTTTTTTGTCTGAACAACAGTCCAAACCAAGATGAAATAGTTTACAAAGACAGTGGGAGTATTATTTGGAAAGAGTCGCTTGCTGTGGTGCATCTTGATTAAAACCCTTCTGTGTGCGTGGTTGATCAAAACTGATAAAATTCACTTAGTGTTATTGAACTGATGTGTAATCTGCTTGTTTAAACAAAATAGCTGGTTGCTTTTCCCCTGTTCCATTAATATATGTGCGTGATATTTGTGAGTTTTGGGCATAGAAGTTGGATGCTGACATGATGAATATCACCCACTGGTTTCTTGACTCCCATTTTAAAGCCGGGAGTTCAGTATTTTTGACATCACCGTCAAAGTATTTTGAAACATCAGTGAGGTAACTGTGAAACTGAGAACACTGAGTGCTAATAGATTAGCAAACTGTTAATCACAAGCTAATTCTAGCCTAAATTGTACCCTCATTTACTGTGTATTTTGCTCTAAATGGGAGGATAATTAACATAATTGTTATTATTATACTGTAAAAAATAAATAGATACATATAATGGGGAGCATGGTGGTGTAGCGATTAGCACTTTTCACATCAAGAAGGTCTTAGGTATGAAGTAATCAGTCTGCTGAGGACTTTCTGTATGGGCAAACTGAACATGCATGTTCTCCTGCACAGTGTAAAGACATGTTTGTTAGGTTACTCAGTGATTGTAAATTAGTGTGAATGTGAGTTATATCTGTTAGGTCTATAATAGATAGGTGATCTGTACAGTCTGTACCCTGCCTCTCACCTGATAGCTTGCAACCTAGAGTTGGATAAGCAGAAGAAACAGGATAAAAATAGCAACTGAAACTCACCAGGAAAGTATTTACTGCGCTATCAAGTCAGGTGAGAAGTTGGGTTATTTTCTCCTAGGCTGTGTTCACACCAGAATGAATAAGAATCTGGTCTTTGTCTGAGGTTATGCTTTCACACAAGCAGAACACAGTTGGTCACGCTGATGCTTGGTTTAGGTGAGGATGGTTTCTGAGTAGACTGTGCAGGAGGCGGGTGAGCCACTGAGTAGCTGTGAATTCAACCGGTTATTACCTGAGATATGCAAATCAGCATGTTTGGAAAAAGGTATAAAGCACCTACTGTATAATGCTGCTTTCCATTTACCTCAGAAGTCGGATGACTGAGGTGGAAGTGACTTCACTCCTGAGTTGGTTGTGTTTCAGTAGTGAAGTCAGAAAAACAAGGAATAACAGCATTTGTTTTGCTCTTTAGCAAGATAGAGTCAGTCATGCATCATTATCATATTAGTGTAAAGCGTATTGTTTGTTTGTTTGTTTGTTTTTTTAGCACTTAAAACCACCATTGCCACACGTTCGTGGATAGACCCTGACTTACTTAGCTGGTCACATGTCTTATGGTTTTACTGCTTTTTACATGCCCTGAAGCAATCTTGGATTGTCTTAGGGTTGGTGGGGCTGCTCTGACTGTCTGATTTTGGAAGTCTGGCTTGAGGGGGCGTTCCAGTTAAAAATTCTGTCCTCCAGTGAAATGCACCATAAGTTCCTTCTTTTTTTCCATCTTCTTAAAATTTTCAGATTTCCCATTTAACGCGGGAATCTGATAACGGTCAACTTTTCATGATTACCTGACTCTTTTTTTTTTTTACATTAACCAATCAAGAGAATAATTGCTGATATTGTATTATACAGTGATGCGTACAGTGACAAATTTCTTCCATTAATACACTTAGATACATCCAGTACGTGTATTAATGGACTGAACTGAACACTTCTCTGTCTCTCTTGCTTCATTGTGCAAGAGTCACCTTGGCACAGATTTAGCCGCGCCTTCTGGGTGACGGCAGCGACTTTCGCCTTCACCCTCCTTCGCTCCTCCCTCAACAGCACACCATACTGCATCTCTCCAGTAACCGAAAACTACTACTAACATAAGGATTGCTTTGATTTACAAAGTGAACCTAAGGCAGCCAAGTGCACACACAAGCTGCATGACCTTACCGCTACCCTCAGCTGAAGTTAATACTGCAGCACCGTGCAGGAGCCTCAGTCACAGTGTCATTGTCCTGACATACAGTGTCATCCCTGCAGTGAGGACATATGCTGCTATTGCGATGTAATCTATCTAGCAGTGATCTAAAGGATGAATAATCTCTATCTAATCTGCACCCATGGGTTTACATCAGCCCATCATACTGGGTGAGATCTCATCGCCTGATTAGACAGAGAGCATCGAAGCGAGATTTTATGCCTGTGCGTGTATGTGTGTGTTGAAGCCTTTAAACCACTGCGGAGATCATTATAGCATCACAGGTCATGTTTTATTGCCTTGCAGTGGGTTTTATGACAATTAAAAGACAGGCAGACCAGGGTTAGATCTATAAATCTGTGTGTATATTGATGTATTTGCACATTAGTGTTTCTAAAAAAATAAAATATTCTTGTATTTGGCTGTGAGCTGGCCTTATGGGACACTAATCTTCATTTATCTGTGAAGCTTAAAGAGGGTGAATAAATTTAACCACTCTCATGTTATCTCAACAAATCTTCCCCTGTGTCTCTGTGGAAAGGCCTTGACCCTCCTGCCACCCCACCTCCATGTTAGAACATGCTGGATGCCCTTGACCCACCCCGTTTCTCGCACCTTCACCCTCACAACGTTTCCTTTACTATTTGTTTCGTGGTGTTAGCGGCTACAAATCACGTGTCCATCAAATCAGGCCTGAAGCACAATAATCATCTAATGGCAGAAATCCCAGACCTTGATTGCCACTTTAATCAGTCATACCTTGGCTTAAAGCCTTACTGACCTCTGTATTTCATTCAAATCTGGTTCTAAATTTGTGAGCTTTCCTGTTAACAGACACAGATGGACACCCGGTTTTGTTTCATTGTTGTTCCATGCTGATGATATTTGGGCTTCAGCTGGATGGAAGCCATATGGGAACCAAGTTAGTCAATAATTGTGTTTTATGTGGTCTTTTGATTGAATTAAATGGATCGTATTGATTTATATGAAACGTAATGCATTTGCATTTTTAAGCCAATGATGATCGCTGTTCTTTTCTGATTGTGTTTTGTTGGACACAAAATTACACAAACAATTAAGGACAAATATTTTAAAAAAAATGTATGCAAGCAAATGACATATATGCTTTAGATTGATGTGTAAGCTGTGTGATGCTCTTGTCCTTTTTGTTGTTTAAAGTTTGACCAGAAAAAATACCAAACTCCGGCTGGTCTCAGCAATTCTAGGAAAATCTGTCAATGTGATGGTCTTTGGTCTTACAGTCTATCTGCTGGTGGCACTGGCTGTCAGTGCCCAGTCAGCACTGGTCTGTGATTCCTGAAAGCCGCTCTATATCCTGGCCTGGAGGTCGGGTGATGTGGCATTACTGACCCCCTGGTGCACTGGGACATGGGGGCCAAAATCAATAGTCGTATCATATCGCTTCAGACTGTAACAAGCTGACTGATTACCTCATCGGCTGCCAGTGAAGATAGTGGAAAAGAAGAAAGAGGAAAAAAGGGTGCAATCAAAAGATTAGGAAAATTACAAATAAAAAACCCCAGCAAAGTAGCATTTTTTGGTGGGGGTGGAAATAAAATCCTCCCATGTGCATGTACTGCAAACCACAAGAAAAATGCTATAGTTAATATTATTGGACACCAGAGGGTGGTAGTACTAATGGAACTACATTTACACTTTGAAGTTATGATAAGGTATTTACACACAAGTGTATTCGGAGGAAGCAGTGTTGATATTATGGGCAAACACATATTCTTTATCTGCTTATAGATACGTTTTCTCTCTCTTTTTCATTTCATTTTTTAGCCTTAATGAGGATTTTTCCATTTCTCTTCCAAAGATTGGAACCACATTTAGTTTTAGGAAACTTGTGCAAAACTCCAGCTGTAAGAGCCGCAGTACAAGATGAAGGTTTAATTTAAAATTTGTACAAATTTCATGATTCTTTTTTAGCTCTTGCACAAGGAAAGCGTGATGTATAAAGATAAATATTTGTGTATTTGCAGAAAAAACATCTACTGTCATACGTGTGAGACTTAAGTTACTATGCAAGCAGCTCAAAAGTGGCTTGTTTAAAGACAGAAGGAGAAAGAAAGAGATCAAGGATTGTAGATTTTATTGATCAAAAAGTGCATTTTCAGCTTCATGTTTGGACTGTGGTCACTGTGAGGTCATCACATTTGCTATTTCTGACTGTGTTTTTGTTTTCCTATGCTAACCATTTTAGATAAATTCAAATCCACACTGTAGAGTTTAGATGTTTGGCCCTTACTGTTTCAGTTCACTCGTACCTGACGGAGACAACTGGTCAGATTAGTTCATCTTAACTCTTTGTTTTTCCTCAGGCCACGGTCCACCTGAAGAGAATCCCAGAAAGAAGCAAAGTCCTGGGATGAAAGCACTCTGCCATTTTCCTCTCTCCCCCAGACCACCAGGAGGAGGACGCTGGGTGACACACTGAGGTAAAGAACCACGCTAAAAAACAAAAAATAAAACACCCTCTGCAGACAAAACCCTTCTCTGATAACGCTGACCTTCAGTATTTGCTGACTCAAGCATCCCCCACTCCTCCTACTACCCACTCTTGTTCTTTCTTGCCCTCCCTTTTGTGTTCTTTCTCCCTTCTGTTTTTTTTTTCTTCTTCTTTCTTTTCATGAGAGCCGTCAATGCTGATCAGTGGACTGACAAGGTGTGGGCTCATATTAGAGTGTCCTCATTTTGTCACACAGATGCAAGCACATTTATGGAAATAGGGGTCTTGGCCTCTTTGATGCTTCTGTTTAGGGACTAGATTTGGAGAAGGATAGCAGTTGGAGAATGTGACACAGGGGTTAGAGGGAGTAGAAGAAGAGATGAGGAGGTCAAGAGGTTAGAAATTTGCGGCTGAGCTCATGTTGTTCCATACTGTAGTCGAGTGCCTCACATGAGGCACCGAAGGTGCTGCTAATCGAATTGTCTCGTCCAGAAAACACAATTTTCTTCGACTTCACTTTTATTTTTTTTTACATACCTAATATAGCTAATGCAGAGAATATTATGCACTTTTTTGTGTCTGTTGTTCTTCAAAATCAGTCACACAACACTCAATCTTGACATTAAGCCCTTATCATTTCTATCAGCTAAAGAACAGTAAACGGCAGCACTTGTAAGATATTTGGGGTGATAATACTATGTTGTCAAGGCAGCAGCAGCTGTCTTCCTCTCTTCTTTCCACTGTATCCATTACAGATCTGCTATCTCTGCTGCATTTTTGTCCTCCAGTCCTCCCTGTCTCAGCCCAGCTGTCTCCTTCCTTCATTATCTGTCCCAAAACACAACTCACCACCTGTGTTAGAAGGTCGTTTTCAGAATACAAAGTCCTACTTAATATTTCATTTTTTGGTTGATACCTGTTTAGTAAATGCTAACGCTTCACTGAACTGTATTTGGCTGGGTAAAATGAGATTTAATGTGATAAACCAAAGCATACTTTGTCCTCATCTCTATAGAGTTTCAACATCTTTAGAAATGTTTTCTGGGTTTTAAGGTACAAGTTCACAGTAAAATTGGCCAGAGTGTATTCAAGTAATCCCTGTGGTCCAAAAGCTCTGGTTTCAGACTGCTCTAAACACTTAGTTTCAAACATTTTTTCTACTCTTGGACCTGTATGATGTTACTGACAGCAGATATCCCAGGCACTCAGCTGCTCCTCCCAAGTGCTGTTCAAAGTTTCTGTTTGAGAAGGGCAGCCAATTAGAAGAAAGGAAAGAAAGTCAAACTGCTTGTTTCAGAAAGTGGATGAACTCAGGGGCTGCAAAAAGTATATTGTGTATCATTTTGTACTGTGAAAACTACATTAGTAGAGTTCAACAATGAAATATGGAGTTGAAAATGAGCATAATATGTCCACTTAAATGATTTATATTAGTTTTAGATACAAAGTCTCTCACTTTTCTTTAATACGTCACAAGTCCTGTTTTTCACTGACTCAAACTGAGCTGATGCACTGGTTTTGTGGATTGTTATTACCTATTCAAAGGCTGAAATAGAAACTCTTGCTGACTCACACACACTTGCTCAGTGTCACACACATATAAAAGACTCAAAAGCTTTCTGGTGTTGTATTTTAAGCCCAGAGAGGTGGGCTGTGCTAGTGGTAACAAAGTGCCAAGTCAGGGAGCAAAAGTGAACTCTTTCTTTTTTTTCCCCTCTCTCGCTTTACCACCGTGGGACTCAGAGGGAGGAATGGGGGAGTTCCAGTAAGGAGAGAGAAAGTGATGACACACACACACACACACACACACACACACACACACACACACACCATTATTCAGTTCTCTTATTGGTTTTCCACCACGGCAGCACACAACAACCAACCAAGAGTGCTAAGTGCTGCATGCCACACAAGAGCCAAGTGTGTGATCTGAAAGTAAATTAGGGCTGAAACAGTCAGTGACTTAATTATTGATTAAATGATGAATTTATTTGTAAAAAAAAAAAAAATTGCTCAACAATTGAGCTGTCCTGATCAATTAATTGCCTGTACCCACTTAACAGCTGTATTAGGCTGGACTTAGCAATAGTGATGCTAACAATGATAGTGCTTTGATAACATTAGCACTTTAGCTTAATATCATAAAACTTGAAGTAAATTTATGAGGAAATGAGAGACTTACATCTCTGACTCTACAGTTGGTATGTTAAATGTTAAAGGTAATGGCAGTAGTACTGGCTTGGAAGGGTTGCCAGGTTTGCAAAGTTGCATCTGAACAAACCACAAGATTTCTGGAACAACCTTGAAACCAAAGTAGATGTTTGGCCATAATACCCGCCGCCATGTCTGGAGAAAACCAAACACAGTATATCAGCTCAAAGACCTTCTATCAGCTGTCAGTGTAGTAGTGAAGGGGTGATGAACTGGGCTTGTTTTGCAGCCACTGGACCTGGGCATCTTCCTAATACCTGGTGAACAATACCCACACTCACTTTCATGTGCACTGGAGAACATGAGGTGCACGCTGCCAGAAAGATGTTATATAATATACTGAGATAAATGACTCGCCCTCTTTCTTCCTCTGTAGCGACTGCTGCTCTTCATGTGGTGGATGATGTTTGTTAATTGGGTGTAACTAGGCCTAGTATTTAGCCAAAGGGGATAGGTGCTGCAAACCGTGTTGAAAGGGGTATTCCCCCGATGCCTGGGGCCATTGTGCTCGAACACAAATCCACTAAACACAAAAAGTGGATAAGATTTCCCAAAATGTCATATCCGATGCAGCACTGTGCTGATGCAGAGAGTAAATGTGAAAGAGGAGGGGGATGATTCTAAGGCTAAAAAGAGAAGGGGGAGGAGAAAAAGGGAGTCAGAAGAGAGTAGTGTGTGTGCTAAAAGAGGGAAACTAGAGGCAGACAAAAGTGGGAGAGGGGAGGGAGGAATGAGGAGGAGGAGGAGGCGGTGGGGGAGGCGGTGCTAAGGCAGACAGCAGGGAAGGAAAGCTGAGAAGAGAAACAGTGGAGTGAAGTGAGAAGACCAAGAAGGAGGTGGTGAGGGGACAGGAAAATAAAAGGGCTTCCATTTGAAAGTCCTTGTGTCAGGATATGAAGTCTGGGAGCGGCGCAGAGGCAACGGCAGGAAGCTGGAATGCTGTAGGGGAGAGATAGTCGACAGAAGAAGGAAGGGGAGACGCGGAGAATCTGAGCCATCAGAGCACCGGACTGATTTTTTTTTTTTAAACTTTTTTTTCCAAGAGAGACAAGTGAAGGCAGCGATGCAGGGCTCTCACTGGAGTGAGTATGGAGGGAAGGAGAGAGTGTGTGTGCTCTTACATGTGTCTGTATGAGAAACGTCAGTGCATATGCCTCAGATTCTCCAAACTCAGGCTCTCCTCACCCTGCTTTCCATTGCCGTTTGGCTTCGTTTAAATTTATGCAAATTCGCCTGAGAATAAACTTTGTATTCATGAGCACCTTGACTCTCTGTGTGAAGCCCCTTATGAGGGTGAGTTACATTTAACGAAAGGCGCAAGGGAGATGGACAGCGAGGCGCGTGCAACAAGGATTTTGCAACTAGAATGGAAACTAGTTTAGTAAAGAAAAAATGCTGGTGACTTCTAAAAACTGAGTAATGAATAGTTAAATGATGATTCACAAACTTCAGTCAGCTGACAGACTCAGAAGCTTGAAGTTACTGCTCTTAAGTTGTCACTTTTGTGGCTGGTCTAAATGACCCTGAAGAGTTTTTTGTGCAGGGACAAACAAAACTGGTTGCCTGGATTTGTTGAGGTGGGATGATGAGGGTTTTTTGTGGTGTCTGAGCCCAGGTTTTCTAATCCTGACCCTGGCTAATCTACTCATTACACACTGTTGGGGGTATTGATTTGAAATTTCAGCCTTAAGAAAAGCTGCCCCCCTTTTTGGACAGTTGGCCTGGAGGAAGAAGGAGAAGAAGGAGGAGGAGGAGGGTGTTATTCAATCTGTCTTAACACACACTCACAGTGAAGATAAGAAAAGCATGAGGCAGCATGTACACTTGCACCAAAGCAGACAATTAGGCCACATCTCAAAAGTGTGACCTGCAAAAAAACATGTTTTCATCCAGAAGACTCAAAGGGAATCTTTGTGTTTCTTTTGATGACAAAGCACTGGGGGTAGAGCCCGCTGCTATTCCTCTCATGTCTTCCCTATGTGTGTAATTACAAGACTCCTCGTGTGCCTTGGGCCACATATTGTAGTTTCTCATCAAGTTTGTTTTGGCCCGAGAATGGTGCGTCAGCAGATATGTTTATAGACAGCTCGCAGTGCTGTCCATTCACTCAACTCTTTGTAGTATCTGTGTTTGATTGTATCATGTTAAGGCTTCATTTGAGGGCTTGCTAGGAGAAGACTGTAATTACCCAGAATGGGATTTGGCAGAGTTCGCAGGAGTGACGTTTTACTCTATAAATGCACAAACGCTGACGTGACGTTAACGGTAAGGTGAAGGGGAGTGAGAATGGGGGCAGAGATGGAAAAGAAGGGTTACCTCATCTTCTCTGGACAAAATAAATGAGGTAACGTGTCACATGTTGCAGCCGTGTTGACTAATGCTTCCTGTGTGCTGTGGGTGTGTATGCACAGTACTAAAAGGTAGTTAAGCAGCTTCAAAAAAAGGTATTGAGACCTTTTGTGGCTCTCTTTGTCTTTTGAAAGTCTTTTACCTTTTATCCTCTCTCTGTTTAGGCTGAGCTTAGGTGGGCTGGATTCATTTAAGATCACGTTCCAGTTTGTTAAAGTCACGTTCTCACACAGAATGCCAGCAAAAACTTTAGATCATTTGTCATTTGCCCTAAAGAAAGGATAGCCATAGCCACCATGATGTCACCCAACTGCTTCACAGTCACCATCTTCGTGTTTTGAAATTGGATGTGATGAGAAGACAGTGGGTCTACCTGAAAAACCAAGGGACACTCATGATAGATGCTAGTCAGTCAAACTGTAAAAGATA